TAGTGTTCCACTTTGTAGCCAAAGTGTATCCTGAAAAGTCCGAAGCTATTTTGTTAATTAGAGGATCATAATAGATTCTCCAGAATAAAGGAGTTATGGTTTCTCCTTGGTCAATGCCATTTTTAACATTGTATGAGTTAGTAAGACCTAAATTTGTGATAACTCGATTAAATCTATTTAATATATATACTAAAAATAATTAATCAATAAACTATTAGTTTAATTATATATTAAGAACAAGACACTTAGTACTCTCCTTTGTAGATCTTTCAACCAAAAATTCTAGGAAAGAAAATATAGAAAAACTCTACAACTAGACTAGAAAACAAAACTCAAGATACTAACAAGAAAGACAGAACAGCAAAAGTTGAATATAATTTAATAGAAGAATATAAAAGAAGAACTAGAGCAACAGCAGAGAACAGTATAAAAAGAATTTTGACAAAAAGTAGAAAATTCTTTTGAAAAAGTAGGGAACTGCCAATACCCTGTATCATAGATCCTTCAAGTTACACAAGAAGTCACAATAGGATTGGCAAAGTAAACAAATAAATACATACATCAAACTATTTAGTATAGATACAACACATGATATAGAAGTATATAGAAAACAGCTGTCAACATGAACAAGAAGAATACAGAGAAAGCCTTAATGTAATTTTTACAAGAAGGGTGTATGAGGCTATGAACAGTATGCATAATAAAATCTTCTTCAATGAAGCAAGTAAGGCATATGCAATACCAAGTAGAAATGATAATATTATTGTAATACTCACAAAACAAAACCCAAATAAAGTAGCACTCCTGCGAATAACAAGAAAGATATTAAAAAAAACAGAAAAAAAACAACTTGAATAGAAGCTTGATTCTGTAGAACAACATCAAGATAGAATAAGTATAGAAAAGAAGAAAAAACAACAACAGACAAATAAGATAAAAAAAAGACAAGAAGCATTAAAAAAAGAGACAAGAAAAAGGAAAGAAGAGAATGAAAAGGTCAACAAAAGTCTACAAGCAAGTATGAAGATTGCAAGGGGAAAAGTAAGTATACAGGTAGGACAAACAAGTAATAACCAAGCAGAAACTGAATCATCATCCTCTTGTAAAGAAAAAGAAGAAGAACAGGAAAGAGATCAAGAACAAGAAAACATAGAAATGGATAGAAAAGAATCATGACAGTAATCAACAACAGAAGAAAAGAAAAGGAAGAAAACAAGAAAACAAGAAACCAAAAGAGAAATTGATGTATTTGAAGTACCACTTGAAGAAAGCATATGGGCACCAAGCAAAAGAGGCTGTAATCAAAACAACAGCCTACTTGCAAAAATATATATACATAATGTACCAGAGAAGACTAAAGATAAATGCACAAACTTTATCAGATGGTCTTTAAAAAATAATAAGCATGTCAAAAACATTGAAGAAGTTTTTAAAAGAAGGAATCTATAAATAGAGATAGACTTTGACTGTGAGTATAGCAGAAGTGAGGCAATACAAAGAATTAGCAAAAAAGAAAGTGACTGGTACAGAATGATTGCAGAAGAAGGAAAAATAGACAAGAAGGAAAAGATAAAAATATATGACAAAAAAATATTAGAATGAAAGAAACAACATATTAAAATTTAAAAAGAAGGAATATGAAGAGCAAGAAAGTGAAAAAGAATCTACAGAAGAGCAAATAGATACAGAAGAAAAAGAGAAAACACAAAAACATAAATATATAACAATTTGGGATTTATTAGTAGACATAAACAAAAAAAAGATTGAGTATATATGCAGAAGATTCAAAAAAGCATATATAATAAGAATCAAGAGATCCAAATACAAGTTCCTCATAATAGTTTAAGTAGAAGAATCAGAAGAAGGAAACATGCCATAGTCTATACTAGTTAACAGTAACAAACTAATAAGAGTAACAGAAGGCAAAAAAAATTACGAAGCAAGACAAAGGCAAAGTTAGTATATAGCAAAAATAACAGATCTGCCAAGCAAGGCCTTAGAAGTTTTGCTGCTATGCTGTCTAAGAAGCAAAGGAGCAAAATCAGTATACATTCTACCAAACAGAAATGGGAATCAAAAAAAAACAGCAATAATTACATTTGTAATAGAAAAAGAAATAAAGACAGCTCAATCAAAGCCAATTAGATACAACAATTTTCAAGTATCCTGGCTAAATGAAAGGAAGAAAGGAATAAGAAAAGAAGAAAGAGTTAGAGGAAGAAGAGAAAAAAGCTAGAAAAGAACTAGCTGAAGTCTAAACAGAAGATATACAAGAAAAAGATATAACTTTCAAATACAAAATGCAGAAGAGCAGTTAGAAGATAGAGACACTATAGATGAGAAAAGCTAGAACAAAAATAAGCAAATATCAGATAGAAGATACATCAAAATAAAAAGTAATTCCTAGTTACAGAATATAGAAAAATAGTTAGGAGTCAAAAACATTAATGCAAAAAGAAATAATTGAAATATCAAAAAGAAAACAAGACTAGTTATACAAATATATATAAAAACAAGCCAGATAAAAGAAGTCTTAGGCCAGATTTTAGACAGACTTAATCAGTTAGAGGATACTTAGCTAGTTATAAAAAAAGGCCTGGCCAATTGCTCCTGAAGGCACCCAAGTTGAACTCATAAATATGAATAAGGAGATTAGAGATTTTCTGCATAATGAAAGAAGAATATTTAAAAAAAAAATAGAAAGGAATCTCCTAATTCAAAAAAAGAAAAGAAAAGAGTAAAGCAGAAAACATGAAAACAAGATACAAGCAACTAAAAGAAAAATAGAAAAAAGGAAGGAAAGAAATAAAAATTGCATGTTACAACATTAATGGACTTAAGACCAGAGGTTGAAATTAGAAAACCTGCTGGGCTGAGCAGAAGAAGAGGAGATAGCATTTTTGGAAATAACAGAAACGAACATCATAAAAAAAGAAGGAAAGATCTTGTTGTATAATTTTAATACAAGATTTAAAGGTTTTTGGGCGAGTGCAGCATTAAACAAGAAAAAAGAATTAGGCACTGGAATCCTAATAGATAAAATCTGAGAAAAACATGTTGAAGTAGTCAAAAGATATAGTGAATATATGATAGAAGTAAAACTATACTTCAAACAATTAGTACAGATAATAATAGGAGTATATATTCCATCAAATAACAAAGCAATCAGCAAGAAGGTATAGCAAAAAATCATAAAAATAGTAACAAACAAGAAAAAGCATACAGAAATAGTTATACTTAGAGATTTCAACCATACAGTAGACAATATACTAGACAGACTGCATCCACAAACAACACACTATAAAAAACTGCTAATCTTCAATTGGCTTAAAAGGCAAAACTTTACAGACTTTTTCAGAAAGTTGTATCCAACAGAAAGAACATATACATGGTCAAGTCAAGAAGCAGCAACAAGAATTGATTATATCTGGTTGTCAGAAACAATCACAGCTGATCTTCAAGAAGCCAATATAAAAGAAACAGAAGGTATAACAAGCAGTAACCACAAGATAGTTACAACAGTCATATAGTTAGAACATATAATTGTGAACCAAAGCTGTGCAGAAACCAAATATAAAGTCCAAATAAGAACAATGTATTTGTATGGGGAAGCAAAGCAAGAAGACTAGGAAGAATTTGCCAAAGAGCTTCAAGTATAACTAGAATAGAAAAAAGCACTGAAGCAATTAGAAGAAGGAAGAAAAAGCAGTGGGTATTGTACAGATATGCTAAATCACATGTGGAATACAATAGAAGAAGCTACAGTGAGAGACAGCAAGAACCATATATATGCTATTAAATGTGCCAATTTTTTATCTGCAGTGTAACCTATGTGCATCATATATTGACCAATAAAAATACGACACCTCCTTTTTGTGATTGGCTAGTTATAACTATTAATCAACTTTCATCAAAAATAAAAAAGAACATGATACGAATATATGCTGATGCACATAGATGAGCACTTAATGATAAAAAGCAATTTTCATATTTTTTTTTTATTTAACTTATAACTTATTTTATGAAACTTTATATATATATTATAAGTCTCTAACCAGGTAATGTAAAATAAAATTTAGCAATGTATATTTAGATATAATCATTAATTGAATAGTAACATTTATGCTTTTTAACTGCATATTCAGCTGCTTTTCTCTTGAGCCCTTTTCTATATGCATCCATCCACTGATAAGAAAGTCTCGCATACTTTCTAATTTGTTCAACTAGGATTGAATCAAGAGTGATTGGTACCTGCTTTTTTAGTTCTTTAATTATGTAATTACAGGTTTCTCATGTACGCTTCTTTGCTACTTCTCAATACATTTCAATATAGTTAAGCTCTAGGTGGAATTTTGGATAAAATATTACCTGTAGTAAATTTATATTAGCTAATTGAAATATGTATTTACAAATATAATTATCTTATGATCACACTTTTCTATCTCCTGTTAAATTAATTCATGTTTAGCCAAGAAGTCTGGTTGATTTGCAACAATACAATGTACACAACAATCGATTATACTAGGATCTTGTTTATTAGTTTTACATTCTTCACAATTAGCTAACAATCCATCTCTTCAAAGACCTCTCTCTTCAAGAAAAGCTTTTATTTCTTTTGGTTGTGATCATAAAAAAGGTTTTTCATAGTCATCAGAGTATATTATCATTTGCATTTTACTATTCTAAATAGTATCTCTCATTTCTGGTTGTTTGCTACTAGAATATAGATTCATTCTGGAGGCAACTAGTGCATCAGGTGCCATTACAGTATAACTAGTCACATTGTTGAATGCCTTTACTCCAACACATCCAGAATGAGTTCATTCAAAAATTTTTATAGCATTTTTTACCTGTAATTATGGTTATAAACTTACATTAATTTTCAAATTTTGATGTAACTTACAGATAGCTTACAAACAATTTTTATATGTTTACCTAATCGAAATTTTTAGAATTATATAAGTTATTATGTAAGTTATAATGTAAGTTTACAGCCTTACCTTTAATAATAATTTTTCTCTATTCCAATATTTATCATATTTTGAACCTAGTTGCATTATTACCTGTGCCTCCTTTTTTTTGTCTTTTAACCTTTCAATTTCTTCAGTAAGAAACTCACTAACATGAAGTCCTAGGCCAAGACCTTTCTTTCTTAACAGCTGTCTTTTTTCTGATGCCCAAAATTGATTAACACCATCCTAAGAATAAAAAATACACTCATTGTGAGTGACTAAAATATGTTTCTTCTCTTCTGGTAAGAGATGTAGCTTTTCACAAATTTTACAGTCAGCATCTAACTATTTTGGCATTAATTTGTCATACTGCTCCATTTTTTGTAGAAACTCTTAGCGATATTCAACAACATCCTCTCTTTCATGACTATCTATATATATCTCCTTCTTATACCACTTATAAGTAAATCTTATTTTTTTTAACCAATGTTATGCAGTACACAAAGAAATAGTTTGGGCTTAATCAATATGAAGTTTAGGAAGAATTTTTGTCTCAAAGAATTTTTTAAGTAGTGATGGAGTTACTTCAAATTTTGTTTACTGTAAATAGCCGGCAACTCTTAACGAAACATACTCATCATGAAGAAATAATTTTAATAGATGTTTTCTATGTTGTGATGAAGGTAATTCATTTTCTTCTAAATATGTTCTGACCCATGTATATATACAACTAGCATGATATTCACCACCATTATGAATTTTTGCTACTGTTTGGCTTGCTTTCATTTTAGGTGTGCTATATTGAAGAAGCCGAATATAATGAATTACTGAATTATATCTTACCTTATTCAGTTTTAATATATTAGCATTGTCAATTATTCTCTGTATTCTTTTAATTGTTTCTTGTAATTATTGTTCCCACTGTGCAGATTCTTCCATAGAATCATTTTTACTTTCATAATCTAACTGGTTTTCTATTTCTTCATTATCATTCAGATTTATATTATTTGTTGAGCTAAAAAATTGTGTTATTTTATAACTTCCTACTGCTGCTAATTTGTTTTTTCTTAATTTTCACTGTCTTGTTCTAACAGAATTACTAGTATATATTTATGAGCTTTTCATATTTTCTAGCTTTTAAGTACTTTGAAACAGTTTTCTAAACAATATTTCTGCTTTTTTCTTAGTCTCTAGGTCATATTTATTATCATCAATTATAGGTATATCTTCGCTATCACTATCATCTAATGTAGTACTTTTACTTTCATTACTAGTGGAATATGTGTTTAAGTCATGGGTATCATTTTTATTGTATTTTTTATATGGTCTTGCCTTTTTAATATTATGTGATGAACTAACAGATATTTTCTAAGGTGACCTATGACTAATACAAGAAGAAGTTAAAACAAAAATTGAGACTCAAAAATAAATGTATGAAATAAGATGATAGAATAGCTCACTAAGCTTGAAAGTAAAGAGAATTCTCTTATCAGACATTTTTATTAACTTTATACTTTTTTTTTTAATAACATTTACAGAACTTTCTCTACTACATTTCATCTTATTTAATTTCTAATTTGATTGTAAATGTTGGCATTGTCTTTGGGGCTTAGGTTTATATATTAAAAAATATTCTTATTATCAGTTTTCTTTTTTTTCTCTTATTACATTTGATTCTTTATTACTAACCTTTCACCTCATGGTTCTCTTTAGATTTTCATATATATAACTAAGCCAATTTCCCTTTTTAGAATTATTAATTTCATGATTCTCTTATTTTGGTTAGTGACTTTGTGGTTAGTCTATAATCATGTTAATCAAGAACAATAGTTGTGACTAGGTTTGTGAAGTAGAGTGTTCTCAAGCAGCTCCTTCAATATAATTAGCTAGCGATCAAGAAATTGCTCAAGTCATCATGATTAATAGACTTGTTTACATAATTAATCAAAAAACAACTTGTTAAGAATACATTGCAGATTCTAAATTTTAGCCAATCAGAACAATTTAATGAAAAAAAATAGTCTGCACTTCCAGGTTTTAATCCATTGAAATGGTTAATATTTGACTAATTAAACCTTTGCCTTCGATTCACTGATTGAGTATGTGAGAACATTCATAGTGCAGACTATATTCAAACTTTTAAATTATTAAACTTATACAAATAAAATTATAAAGTATTTAAAAAAATAAGAATTTAATCTAATTTTAATTGCATAAGTTTAGTAACTTAAAGTTATCTTTCTTTTAAAGATGGCTTGCTAAGAGCCAATTTAGAATTATAACTGCATTATATTCATAATTATGTTTTAAATAATTGATAAAAAAATTTTTGATTTCGTATTGCAAGTTTACTATGCATTATGTCACATGATGTGAGTGTAAAATTTAATTGGCCAATTTTGCAATGCTAAATTTTTATTGGATAATTTTTTTCATGTGATTGGTGCTAATATTTTAGCTTATATATAAAAATAGATAATTTTTAATTTGATATTATGAAATAATTATTTTATATAACTTTAAATATTTTTTGTAAAAAATATTAGTAATCTAATAAAGATTAATTTTTATAAAAAATTTTTATTAAATATTTAGTTTTAAATATCTAATATCAATTTGAATTATTTGTATTTTTATATATGATTTTTGCTATCCTCTACTGTATAATAGATGTAGCAAATAAAAAGATTCCAAAAAAGAAGATATTCAACACAAGAACAAACAAAAGACATCATCAAAAAAAGCCACAACAGCATAGACATATAATTGAATTACAACAAAGAATCAAGAAAGCAAAAATAAAAAAAAAGCAAGAGATAGAAAAAGAAGAAAAGAAAGAGATAAACAAGACACTTATAGACATTAGTAAAAAAATAAGAGCAGTGCTACCAAAGCTACACAAACAGTAGTCAGAAGCTTAGATAGATGATATAAAAGTCTGGCAAAGAATTTTAAAAGACAAAAGAAAGAAGAGTGGGAACAAGCTCAAAGAAAACAGATAGAAGAAAATATAAATAGAAAAAAATATAAATAGAAGATGTGAAATAATAAAAACTGATCAAGAATGAATGATTGCCAGCCTTCTGAACAAACTATACAAAAAGATAATCTTGAACAGATTTATAACACAAAGCATAGAGGAAACCAGTCTAATGACAGAACCTAAGACTGTTTTAGATGACCTAGAAAAATATTTTAAAAATCAATTTAGAAAGTGAAGAACCAAACTAAAAAAGATGTCTAAAGAATAAAGAGAAGTATATAACCCAAAAGTGTGAATTAAGGAGTCCTGGTATGAGAAGCTAGAAGAAAAGATAGAAGAAGAAAAATGGGAAGACATTTTAAGAGAACTCAAAGCCAATACAGCTCTAGAAATTTTTGGCATAAGCTACACTTTAATAAAACAAGCAGGAAAGATATCACAAAAGATTTTCAGAGCCTTTACAAATCTGGTTTTATAAACAGAAAAAATGCCCAAAAAATAAAAAATAGCACAAGTTTATTTAATTCCAAAAGATGTAGACTGGAAATATAATCTGAACAATATTAGACCAATAGTATTAATTGAAACCTTTAGAAAGCTAGTCACAAAGATAGTAACAAGAAGGCTAGCCAAGATATTTACAGAAAGAGGAATACTCAAAGGACCAAATTATGCAGGCTTGCCTGGCAACTCTACAAAGCAACCAATACATATGCTAAACATGATAATGAAAGAAGCACAAAAGAAAAATAAAGAAATATGGATACTTCTACAAGATATGAAGAAGGCATTTGACTTAGTCCTATTGGAAAGCTTGGAGTAGGTGCTTAGAAGAGTAAAAGTACTACAAAAAACAATAAATATATTATCAACCTTTTCTATAAACACTAGTTTAAGGTGATTACAACCTATGGCCTAATAGAAGAAATAATAGCAGGAGATAATATAAATCAAGAAGAAGTGATTTTTCTACTCATCTGATGACTTTTCTATGATCCACTATTGGAAAGGATTCAAGAAGAGAAATTACTAGGCTATGTAATAGAGCAAAAAACATTTAAAAATACAGATATTAATTGTATTACAAAACATAAGCAAGCAGTGATTGCTTATGCAGATAACACTATATGGATCACAAACAGCAAAGACTGATTACTTAGAATTCTTGAAGTTGCAGAGCAGTTCTTCAATATGAATGATATTAAAATAAATAGAGCAAAGTCAAAGTTTATAGTAATAAACTTAAGACTAAAAAAAGAAAATAGAGAAATTGCATTTGGACAGAGCAGAATAACAAAAGAACCAAGAAACAAAATTGTAAGATCACTAGGAATTTGGCTAAATAGCAGAATAAAAGAGTCATTAGTTTGCAAAAAAGCAAAAGGAATAGTTAGCCAAACAGTTAAAGACCTTAGATATAAAAAAATAACAATGAGCCAGATTGCTTATCTAAACAATACAGTAATTATCCCAAAATTAGGATACTTTTTACAGCTAACAAGAATGTTAGAAAAGATAATTAACAAGATTCATCAGCCAATAATATGTTTGACAAAACACAAATGCAATAAGATGAGTACAACAAACAATTGCATAATTGAGTACAAGGATCTGAAAAACTACAAATCATTAAGTCAAGAGATAATGACAAAGCAAATAAGCAGTCAATTGGCAAGACTTAACAGAAAAGACATGTTAGGTAATCTAACAAAACTTAGAATAGCTCAAAGATGTTAGAAAGCAGCCTTGGTAAAAGACATTTGGGACTCTGAAAGAAGGCCAGAAGAAACGAAGTATTGGAAGCACAATTTAGCCTGTCAAATAATAGTTAAAGCAAGAAAGATGAGAATAAATATCAGAGCAGAATATCATTTATGGAAAGTACACAGATATGGAATGAGTATAAGAGACTTAATTAGAGCCAAGTTGTAGGCAACAAGTAGCAGTACAATAAATAGATGGGGTTTAATATATTTAAACCAACTAGTAGACATAAAAGGGGAGAACCTAATCATGTGAAGACAGTTTAAAAGTTTTCTAGAGCTGTTAAGTAAAGGAAAAAAACTAATAGTTTGGTAAAATAGAAGAAAAGATATTAATAACACAGACAAATAGAGAAATATACAACCAATACAAGATCAGAGACTACAATATACAAGCACTAATGATTAAATAGATGAAGATATCTGAAGACAAAAGAAAGAAAGAGTGGATTGTATATGGACCAAGGCACAATTAGCAACTTAGTAAGATATTAAAAAAAAAAAAAAAAGATCTTAGCTAAGCACTGGCTAATACAGAAAGTAGAAGGCAAGATATATACTGAAATAAGCAAATGCAAAGGATGCAATAACAGAATAGAGCAAATAACAAATATTTGTGAAAAGTGAATAAGATAGAACAATAATATAAAAATAGTTTCAGAAACATTAGTAAAGAAAAGCAGTAATAAAATTAATGCAACACTAGAACAAATGCAAGAAAACAAAACAATAGAAGAATAAAAAAAAAAAGAAAGAAGTTTAATTGAGCTAAAACAAGTGGAAAAGTTAGAAATAGAATTAATTAAGAAACAAAAATTTGATAGTAAAGTCACAGATTACATAATAGAAGCCTTAACAAGAAACAAGAAAAGAAACAAAAACAAATATACTCTTTATACAGATAGAGCATTATATAAAGAGAAAGAAAAAATAATATAGGAAAGATGTGCATTGGTTGAATGCAGGTTAGTAACAGAGAAAATTGGCCAAAAAAAGAAATAACACTAGGACTCGAAGGTTGGCCCTTAGCAACAACAGCAGAATTAGCAGCAATATGATTAGCAATTTTAATCATACTAGAAGGGAGGTGTATAGAAGTGCATACAGACAGTCTCATAGCAATAAGACATATTAACAAAGTACTTCAAGAGATAGGAGATGACAGAGTCTTGAAAAAGAAAAATGTGATATGGATAATAAATATTGTAGATCTACTTAAAAGCAAGAACAATAGAATAGAATTAGTTAAAGTTAAAAGTCATAGTAATGATAAATAGAATGACAGAGCAGATATACTTGCAAAAAAAAAGCTATATGTAAAAGAACAATATTTACAGAAAAGATTAAATATAACAGAATAAAGTACCATTTAGAATAAGAAAACAAGAGGATGGCGATCTTAGCATAGTGGTTGGGTTGTTATCTTCTAAGTGGCAGGTCTAAGATTCAAATCCCATCTATGATGAAATTTGAAAATTAACCTGTGTTACGACAAACTGTCTCTTGATGATCAGTTGGATTTGTGTATCTGTAACCTTAAGTCACACCATCTTGAATGGGAGCTCAGGGCATCTATGTCAAGTGTAACATTACACATACATAGAGGAATGTTAATAACCAGTATCACATAAGACTTTGGTGCAAACCCATGATAAGACCACAGTGTGCAGTAAACTAAAGAACTGAAGAGTCAGAAGCCTACTTGGAAATTTCTAAGTAAAGAGGTGGCATGAACTTTTGATAATACAGTC